TGTTATAGGCATCGGAACAGTTCCCAAGGTAGAGCGAGAAAAATTCCTCTTCTGCCCCAGACACCTGCACACATCATTTAACCCACAAAGCTTTTTTCCCACATTGTATTCGATGAGATCATATCAAGACTTATATCAAGTCAAATAAATAAACAGCCCAGGCCTCCGTCACAGCCCCAGTCTATCACACACAGCCAGACGTGTGTGTGTTTTGGCCCAGCTGAGTCAGGCAGACACAGGGGGTGCGCCCGGGTAGAGCCGGGCCTGGAATCAGCCCTCTGGCATCCAGAGTGTTCCCTCTCTGGGAGGCCAGGCATTTCACGCGCTCCCGCTGTTTGCGTGTTGGCAAGCTTGGGATATTCTGGTAAGGAGCATTCCTGTCTATTCCAGCTTGGAATGAGTCTGCATTTCTTTGTCCAACACAAAGCTTTGAAATGAATGATGATGCTGGAAAAAAAAAAATCTCAGGAGAGTTTGCAAGGATTGCTAATAAGTATATCTAGCGTTTAGGATAGAAACGGCCTTTTCTGTAGAACTCTGTAGAACTCAGAATAATCTGCCACTGGCAACACCTTGCATTCCGCATGTCTTTGGCAAACCATTTATAAGGAAGAGGAAGAGGAATTTGTTCTGGCAACATGTTTTGTATGAAGAGGGAGTGCATGGGCACAGGATGGAGAAATCACTAAGGCTAACGTTTGTGAGGAGTGAGAAAAAAAGGAAAGAAGTCTCGCTGCTCTCTGCAGTCCCTAGAGAGAAAAGAGCGAGACAGCTGGGGTTTATGACTTGGGTCCTGCCCTGCTCTTCTGCTTTCTTGGGCCCATTGAAATGGCCACCATGGCGGGACCCCAGCCTCGGAGTGGTACATAACCTTCTGAAAGGTCTGCCTTGGTCCAGCTTTTGCTTACAGGCAGGCAGGAAACATGAGTCTTTCTTGAAGTTTCTTATTTTGCTGCCTCTGGTGAGTGACCGAGGAAACCGGGGTGCTTCTCGTCACCTTCTGTACGCCGAGTGTGGGCTGTTTGGGCCCACCCCAGAGGTAGTGCGGTCAGCATTATGGAGTTGACGTTCCACGTGGGGCTGGGACACAGACTGAACCCTAGAAGTGGACACTCGGGCTCTCAGCAGCAACCATCAGTGGTTGGGAGACCGAGACAGGTGGGTGTCTCGGAGCAAACAGATCCCATGGTGGCTCAACCACCGAAACCATGCTCTAGCTTCTCCATGTTGGCACACACCAAGCATTTAAAAAGGGAATCGTGCCCGTACGCGGCACTTAATAAAATTTGTCATTTAATTTGTATGTCTTTGATCACTAGAAGGTTGAACTTGTTACTGCATGGCCATTTCCATCCTTATCTGTGGGGCCCTTGGCCTCAAGTGTCCTTGAGGCCAGCCTTAGTTGCCCCTAGGCCGTCTGCTAATGTCCACACTTTCACCTCTCCCTTACTTGATCCCACGACACTGTCACATTGAATCCACCTTATAATTACTCTCTGGAGTACCGTCAGCTACCATTATAGCTCTCTTTGGGCTCTCAAATTGTGCTTTGTTTGTGCCATTCAGCTCGGCTCTGTGGGGCTGTAAGCAATAAAGCAGAAGGATCCTCTAGCTCTTCACTTCTCCCACACGCAGGGCTTCCTGCCAGCAGCCTCGTCCACACCATCTTTTCATCTGAACAAAACCCTGTCCGGTGCTAAATATAGCTTTATTTAACATAATTGTACAAGGTGCTTTCTACTTTTAAATCTAGACTGGGCATGGAGCGGGACATTTACATAACAAGTTGGTGTCAGCCCTGTAACAAATCTTCTGATTTCCTTTATTGGACCAGTGAGGAAACTAAGGAACAGGGAGGTTTGCAACCCTGCTCCTGTCATACGGCTACTTAAATCCCAGGTATCCCAACTTCCGGTAGGTGCACTGTTCACTCCCACCCCCATGTCCAAGTGAACAGCCCAGTCCTTGGTTGTGCGCAAGGAGCCTCTGATCCCCTGCAAAGCCTGGTGGATTGCAGTGTGTATTTCCCCATGGAGAGCTCACCCACCAGCCTTGGTGGGGAGTGCTCCCGCCATCTGGCTCACCAACCAGACAGAGATCTCGTCCAGTTTTTTCTTTTTCTTTTTTTTTTTTTTTTTTGGCCACTTCCCCCAGCTGGAGGCTAGTCAGCTTCTGAAGTGGTCCAGGGCTTTCCCCAGACCACAGACCTTCCAGGTGAAGCTGTGGGGCTCTCCTCCCACTAGCTGCCAGGTACTGCCACATTCTGACTTAGTGGCAAATGCAGATGATTTCAGGGGCCAGGGAAGTATGTCCCGGTGTCAAGTGGCTGGCGTAGGACTAAAGGCATGCCATGAGAGGGGGGCTTCATCCATTTTCCACTTCATCCCAGCACCTGGAGCAGCGTCTGCACACCATAGATCACCCCCAATAAAATGCGTAGAAGGAACAGTGTGGGGATTGCAGAGAACTGGCAAATGTGTGTTTCATGGAAGGCATTCTTGTCAAAAAGCACACCTCTGGGCAATATTTGGCTTCCAGCTCGCAACCCCTATGGTTGAACAAACAAGGCTATTTATAGATGGAATGAACAATGACCGCCAAGCAACAGGGATGCCCAGCTTATCGCTTTGATGTGTTCAGTTGGAGTCAGGACATAGGACCTTTTTCAGTACCTCTTAAATCCTTTCCATTAATAACCCTGACCCTTTAATGACCCTGTCCTAATTGGAGACATGTGCAAATTTTCACACTTTCCCTTCAACTGTGCTATGGTCTTTTTCTGAGTCTCTTAGTCACATGTCTTTCTTTTCAAAAAATGTACAAAGAACACCCCTTTTACCAAATAAGGGGCAGACTTTCTAAACACATACTTACGTCCTGAGAGAAGGGTGACAAATCTGCTTTCATTCATACAACGTCACTTTTTCTGAAATGGACATAAGCAAATAGTGGCAGCTGTTTTGTGCCAAAATCACTTTGCGCCCAGTCCATCTTCACCATCCCAGTCCGTCTTCACAATCCACCAGAGCAAGCCACAGAGTCCTGGAGAGCAGGGGACAGCCCCCAAAAGTTTCTCCCCAGGTGAAGCGTTGACCCTGGCTGTTCCCAGGGACACTGACCTTATTCCGCTGGGTCTGTGTCACCATCCTTCCATCCCATTCTGCCGACACCCCAGACCCAATTGTTTGGGTTTGTAGCAAAGTCCCTTGAACCAAAAGGAGTGTGGTTCTTGGGTCAGTCAAGCAGCTGTTGTGGAGTAGACAGACTGGATGGGGAGCCCTCTGAGCACACGTGCCCTAACCCTACAAAGGGTTGACAGATACAAGACCATGTGCCTCAGCGTGGAAGCCCAGAGCCAGCTTCTAGACTGTGGACTCAGCCATTGACTTGTCACTTAAACACATCGATTCCCTAGTGAATTGGGAAGGGTATCAAAAGCATCCTCTAGCAAGTAGAATCTACTTGGAGGAAAAGACTTTGTAAAATCAAGCCATAGCCATCATTAATATTTTGGCCAGGATATATGAGTGATAAAGGTACCTTAGAAGGTACCAAAGGCTTTAAAATTCCAGATTTTCTTGAAACATTTTACTGGTAAATGGTAAACACACACACACACACACACACACACACACACACACACACACACACA